TTGCTCATCTTTCATTACCTGAGGAACATTCTTTTGAGCTAGTGCTTTGTCTTCAAGTCTGTACTCATGCATGACCCAGTCAGTCCGTTCCCCACGAGGCGTCTTCCCGAAGTGAAAAATCAGAGTTCTTATTTTCCCCACGACCTCGTTATTGTAAGAAACAGCTCTGTCTTGCCCTGTGGTCTTCCAGTAACCACATTCAGTCGAACGTTTTGCCCTACCACTAGCACCTGTGGGATACTTCTTTTCCCTTGGACAGAAGAAGTACCACTTAAGATCTCCAGTCCTTAGACATGATTTATCTGTAACAGATGAAGAAAACTCTTTAAAGAAAGCATGAAACTTTCCCCGAAAATAAACAAGATTTTCGAATGAAATGAATGAATGAATTACCAGGTAAATCAGGTGGTTCGAACTTGTAAATGTCGATTTCTGCTATAGCATTAGTTTTGAATTTTTTCCCCATAACTTTCCTCTTCAAGTAGTATCTCACAAGCTCAACATCGGTCGGATGAAACCGAAAACCAGGTGCCAAGTTAGTTTTCCCCATTGGAGAGAAACTTTCACCACTACACTAAGTAAATATCCCTCAACAACAAAGCAAGAATTTCGAACTCTTTGCTCTCTATATTCACAACAACAGGATCCAACAGAAACAACAAGGAATGGTGAATAAGCTAAGGAAGAAGAAAATAACTTGATGGGGCTTGAAAGATTTCAAGTCCAAGACGAATGTTTGAGCAAGATTGTCTGTAAACACCACAACCTCCCTTTGCTCATATAACCACAGTCACACCAAAGAAACGATGGATTCTTCCTGCAGATATCAACAGACATCTGACGCACAACAGAAAGACAAAAAAAAAACCCTGTTTTTAAGACATCCAAACACATATGAAAGGAAGAAACATTCACAATAAGCACTCAATTTTGATGGGACTGTAACAACAAAAAATCTAGGGCTAATTTCCGATTTATAATTTGCCTTATCAAATTGGTAAGCAAGTTTCAGAAAAAATGTCACTAAACGAGTAGACTAAAGAGAAGTCAAAAGTAATTTGCAAGCAAAATCGAAAATTCTAAAACCCTACAAAAACCCTTTTGATTTTTAGCAAGACCAAGACCCCTAGAAACCAAATTAACTGTCTTTCAGAAAATGAAATCGCATCAAAACCCGATGTAGCTCACTCAGATCAAAACCCAGAAATCAAAATCGAAAACCCATCAAGAAAATGAACAGAACAGAGTAGACAGAGACCAGCATCGGAAACCGAACCATATTTAAGTGAGAAAAAAGTAAAGAAACAAGAAAATGAAGAAGATCAGGAGCTAAGAAATCGTACCCGTGGAGAAGAACAAGCGGAGGAGCAGACGACTGTGGTCGGAGAAAGGAAGGTG